ATACACAGGTTTCCAGCCAGCTATATTGAGTTTGCAATTATTGACACTGTTGGTGCTTAAATGAAATTAAGTGACCATTTGAAATGGCACTCAGGGAACAAGAATTGAAATTGTTCTACCCAGCAATTCCAAACAGTAAGGTTTTTCTTGACAGTGTAATGTTCTTGGAATGAGTATATTATAAATCATAACTGACTTCCCTCATCTTTACCAAGGTCCAAATAGCAAAATCTTTCAACATAAAGAATATAGTTTACATGTAAAAAAATAATATTTCCTGACGAAAAAGAGAGTGAGAGCTGCGCTGGCAGACTATTGGGTATATAGGGTAGAAATAAGGAAAAGAACAGTACAAATATAGCTCACTGGTTAACAACCTGCACTTAAGGGGTTACTTTTTTGTAAGGAAGAGAGCAGAGGGTAGTTCCTATTATGCTGACTCAGAACAACAGGAATCTCCTGTTTTCAGGAAAAACTATCCTGTGGGGGGATCTCCCTCCCTCCTTGTTGTTGGATAATGGGCATTTAGCCTGAGTGACTCCTGTTTGGTTTGTTCCAATTTTCCCGGTCATTTTTGTTTCACAGTCTTTTAAATGGTAGCACAAAATGTTCTTATGTTCGGAGGAAGGGAAAGATTTAGCAAGTTTTAAAAGCTTTAGCTATTAATTAAATTTGGGAAGAATGGAAGACAGAGACAGAATCTAGCCAGTTTTAGGCAGAGAAGTTCCTCGGCCCATTAACGTTGAACATCAAGGAGAGCAATGCTGTCTACCCCAGAGCCTGTGCCTCAGAGAACATGAGTCTAGTTTCTTTTTCTTTTCTTTTTTTTTTTATTGTCAAGGTAATGCACAAGGGATTACAGTTACATAAGTAAGGTAGTAAGTACATTTCTTGTCAAATTTGTTACCTCTTCCTTCATTTTTCTCCCTCTTTCCCTTCCCCTCCCCCGCCAAAGTTCTATAGATCATTTCCAACATATTGTCTTGTGTCTATCGCTGTTTCATTGGTTCTCCCCTTGAGTCTAGTTTTTTTAACTCACAAAATTAAGGAAACAAAGTGCTACCCTGATTCTCTCTAGAATGTGCTGTCTCCCAGCTCTGCTTTTTGTTTATGTTTGTTCTGAATATGTAGAGAAAAATGCACTGAGCTCATGCTTAGCTGTCCTGTCTCCTACTCTCCCTTCTCCACAGCAAACTGCATGTGTGCTTCAGAATTGTGCTGACTCCCAGCCTGACTCTGGCCCTAAAAATATGTCCTTTTGCTATAGCTCTCTTGTAGATAAAATAGGTATAGTATTACTTACTATGTTTGGCAGGGTTTTTTTTTTTTTTTAAGATACCACTTTATTTTTTATTACCTTTAAGTAGTTGTACAAAGGAGTTACCATTTAACAATATATCTTGATCAATGTCATCCCTTTCAACATTCTCACCCATCCCTCCCCTCTTCACTCTTTCCCTCACTCTTCTTAATTTTGTAGCATGTACATTAGATTCTTGACTGCATTTTCCCCCTCTTCTCTTCATTTGTGTATCCTTTCTCCTTGACCCCATCTGACCGAGTGGTGAGAAAGTAGAGCTTAGACTATAGGACTCACAATCGAGGGACTTTTATTTTTTGTGTGTGTCCTGGGGCTTGAACTCTGGGCCTGGGTGTGGCTCTGAGTTTTTTTGCTCAAGGCTAATGCTCTTCCACTTGAGCCGCAGCTCTCTTCCAGGGCGTGTGTGTGTGTGTGTGTGTGTGTGTGTGTGTGTGTGTGTGTGTGTGTGTGTGTGTGTGTGTGTGTGTGTGTGTGTGTGTGTGTGTGTGTGTGTGTGTGTGTGTGTGTGTGTGTGTGTTTGCGCGCAAGCACATGTGTTTGGTTAATTGGAGATACGAGTTTCTCAGACAGGAGACAGGGCTAGCTTCAAACTTCAAACTGCAATCTTCAGATCTCAGCCTCTTAGTAGCGAGGATTACAGGCATTAACCACAGGTGACTGGCCTCATGGAGCTTTTATCTTGATCATTCACCAGCCTATGTAAAATGAGATGGTAGACATCAACATTGCCTGGAGAAGGAAAATGCTCAATTGTGCTGTGTATTTGTTTCCATTTGCATAGCTGACTAAGGGCCATCATAAACCATAAAAACTGGTGACTTCTGGGAGAAAATCTGCTTTCCCTCCTCTAAGCCACAGACACTTGAGAGATAGATTTAAGGTAGAGTCTTATGCAGCCTGTTATATAAAATATTCTTGTGTTTTGGGAAGAGAAAGGCATAACAAGTTTTAAATGTATTACATATAAAGGGTCTGAGTAGCCCTAACAGTGCATACCAAAAGGAGGAAGGGAAGGAAATGGGTGGAAGGACGAAAAAAGGAAGGGAACTTAATTTTTGTAAGAGATATAATATTCTGCATCCCCCAAGGCTGGACTGAGCTTCCTTGTCCCTTCCCCAGGGTTTAAGTCCACAGTGTGTGGTTTCGCTGCTTATATAGGTCATGCCTTCCCCTCCTATTTCTTTTTTTTTTTTTTTTGGTCAGCTGTGGGGCTTGAAGTCTGGGCCTGGGCGCTGTCCCTCAGCTCTTCAGTTCAGGGCAAGCGCTCTACCACTTGAGCTACAGTGCCACTTCCAGTTTTCTGGTGGTTTATTGGAGATAGGAGTCTCACGGTCTCTCCTGCCCGGGCTGGCTTTGAACCGCGATCCTCAGATCTCAGCTCCTGAGTAGCTAGGATTACAGGCATGAGCCACCAGTGCCCGGCTTTCCCCTCTTATTTCTTTCCTCTGCTTTCCTTAATGCACTAAAAAATCCAAGTGTTTACTGCCTCTAATGTAGTGTCCAGCCCTCACTGGGTAGCGGCTGAACAAGTGGTCCTGGCTATTACACAAGTGACTTGAAAACAGAGGTGGGTTCCTTGCAACAAAGGCATTCTCAGACTTTTAGGAAACACTGGTGCTCAGCAACTGTTGCAAGTTGGTTGTGCTTGAGTCATGAAAAACAGAATGGAGAGGCTATGTTACTTTCAGCAAGATCTCCTTCTCTGGGACATGTCCAACCGCCTGTGCTTTGTACAGAGCCTCTAGCGTCCACCAGGCTCATCCTGAGCTCCAGTTTGATAGGAAAGTGGGAACTTGGATTTCTCATGTTTACACTGTTGAGATGAAGCACTTATGTCACACCACCTCTTCTAGCCTTCATTTCTTTATCTATCAAATGAGGCATTTGACCAGCTTCATTTTTAGGGCCTAGATAGCTGAAACTAACTGGAAATCTAAATAAAACACTAAAATGAGCTAGACACTATGGGTCATTACTATAATCCCAGCTATTTGGGCAGCAGAGATAAAGAGGATCATGATTTAAGGCCAACCTAAGCAAAAGGGTGGTGAGATCCTATCTCAAAGAACAAACCAAAAGTTGGGGAGCACATCTATAATCCCAGCTAGTCAGGAGGCATAGGCAGCAGGATCAGAGTCCAAGACCAGTCCCAGACAATAAGCAGAAGACTGTCTCTGAAAATTAAATGCAAAAAGATTGACTCAAGTGGTAAAGCACCTGCCTAGCAAGTGTGAGGTCCTGAGTTTAAACCCCAGTATTACAAAGAGAAAGGAAGGAAGGAAGGAAGGAAGTCCAAATAAGATCATAAGCCATTTGCTCCCAAAGTCCCTAAGGAAATTCTACAGGAATCATTATACTGTATTTTATTATATATTTCCACTTATGTTGTATTTTCCAAAATTTCTTTGCACATACTTTGAATAGAGTTTCTTAAAGTTTCCCTATTCATTCCCCAACTTATCTTTTTCCCTAACCTGTCCTTTTAAGTGGCAGATTGCCTCTGATGGAAACACTTACACCACCTTGCCCCTGTAGTTAGGGTAGACAAGTTATAGTGTTGCCTTGGCCATTTGTGCAGAGGGGGTAGGGGCTCCCAGGGTCTGCTCCATCAGAAGGAGCCAGCCACTGTCACCCCTCTTCCTCTTTGCAAGCTTTTTAGGCTCCCCTTTCTCCAGGATAGTGTCCTGAGGAGCAGGAAGGCTTTCTTGCCTCCCCCCAATCCCCAGTAATGGTGTGAGGATTGTATGAAGGAGCATTATACATATACTCAACTCCTCATGTGGCCCTTAAACTGTGCCCAGAACCAACTTAAAACTCAGATAGGCTCCAGCTGGTCCCCACTTCTGCAGATCTTTGCAGACCTCCTTCATAGTTCATTCAGTATATTTGAGCAGCCTAATATAATATAGAACTACCTAAGCATGCAAGTATTACCAGGCCTCAGGACCTGACAGGCTTTGTGAGCCCAGAGAAGGAAACCTATATAGGTCAGTAGGAAACATAGGAGAACTGAAGCAGAGGAGCTACCCTGGAGCTACTTTAGGCTCTTTAAAGGGGGATTTTAGCTCCCTTGTCATGGGTAGCAAGCAGTAGAGAAGTTCCATTTCACCACCACATAAAACCTCGTGATCCCTGCTTCTTTATTGAGCTAACAGGGAGGCTGTTGAGCCTGAAGAGCTCTCTCTTCCCTTGAGAGCCTCTCCACAGGAGAGAGGGAGGGCAGCTGCAGGAGCAAGCCAAGGCCCAGTCATGGCTTTACTTTCTTGTTGCATCTGTCTGCTTGTTGATTGGGTTATAGAGATGATGATGATGATGATGATGATGATGATGATGATGATGATGGCAATTCTTGTTTTTGGCAAAATAAGTGTGGGAAATGCTGGGATATGTAAAGTTAATCTGATGGATGTATCACAGGCTTTAATGCCTTTCCCAGGGGGAGGAGAGGAATTTCCTACTGTTTTGCTTGCTAAAGTCTTTTCTTTCCATACTAGCCTATGAGTGAATTTGGACTGCAATAGGCCATTTTGGGTACCTAAATTAATGTACTTCAGGAAATTCGGGTAATTCAGTCTTACATTGCCTTACCAAGACCAAAGATTTACCCATCGGAACACTCTCCCCGTATCCTGTAACATTGCACAATTTGGAGGTTAACATTGTTTTTCTCCTTCTACAGAATATTGACATCACCAATTTCAGCAGCAGCTGGAGTGATGGGCTGGCCTTCTGTGCTCTGCTCCACACCTACCTGCCTGCCCACATCCCATACCAGGAGCTCAACAGTCAGGAGAAAGTAAGTCATGGCCCAGCAACCCTGCTTCTTCTCCTGGAAATCAAGGGAACGCCTAACCATTGGTACATCCCATTGATAGAATTGTAGTAGACATTATCATTTCCATAACTGGCACAGATGACAACAGAGTATGGGACTGTACAGTGCAGTCCCAACCTCAGCACATATTTCTCAGCCTCATTCTCAGTGCACATCTGTTACCTAGAGAAACAACATAATGGCTTATTAACTACAGCTGCTAGAAGTTCCTGTCGTATCCAAGAGTGCTTGGTCAAAAAAGGCTCAACTCCTTGGGGTCACATGTCATGTCTGGCCATTTATCCCAGTACACCAAATAAGAAGGGGAGCCGTGGTAGGTGCCCTGTTACACAGCATGGACATATTGTGCAAAAAGGCAATCAGCACCTCAGCCCATCCTCATGAGCTTTAGGTTTGGAGGAAGAATTTGAGTAGGGGGCAAGAGTTAAATGTAAGCATGAAGCAGTCCCAGGAAAAGTGTGGCCTCAGTGATCCTTACTGAGGAGTTCCAGAGTTATCACTGTTATCAGTTGAGTAGACTAGTCTGAAAGTCACTGGGTAAGGGAGGAAGTTTTAACTCTTATCACAAGATGTTTATCCATCAGTCCTGCTGTTCCTACCATCCAAAGCAATTGCAGGGAAAGAGACTCAGAGTAAAGGAGACAACAGTGAAACAGATGCGGAGATGCCAAACTTTTCTTCTGTTTTCAGTTCCTCTTTTGGAGGTATGTGAGAAGCTCATACCTTTCAGCAAAAGCAGCTTGTAAGCACTCATAATATTATCACCCACTTTCCAGACAAAACTTTGATGGAATCTTACACCTTGTGGCTTTAAGACCTTGACCAGCATTTACCAAAGTCTGTTCCAGGGCTGGAGGTATAGCTCAGTGGCCGAGCAAATTGTCTAGCCCGTGGATAGGCCTGGGTTTGATGGCTTTGACCCCCAGTACAACAAAGTAAAGTTTATCCTAAAGAACCACCAAGCCCCACCAAAACGAGTTCCTTGCTCAAGTAAGAAAACTTGTATATTATATCACATATTTAGAGATCAGAGTACACATTATTACATTAAAGACATGGTAAATTAGGTGTGGTAGATACCTATAATCCCAGCAATCATAAGACTCATAAATACCAGGCTAACCTGGTTCATCCACATGTTGAGACCATGAAATGTATCTTGTATCTGTTATAATTAATTAATTTCAATTTCAATAGTCAAGTATCTTAAGTGGCTGCTGAATTAGACAGGTATATAGCTTTGGTATTTAAATCTGTGAGATTCAAGACTACCCAGACCCTAGATCTTAAGGGAAACTGTCTTCATCAGCTTTTATTGTTTTAATAAGATACCTGAGACTTTATAAAGAATAGATGTTGAAAGTCCAAGATTGAGATAGGTCCATGTATTGGAGCTCTGATGAGAGCATGGTGGTAGATGGCTTTATAATGGTGGATGACATCACAGTAGTGGGAGTATGTGCAGAAGATAGCACAGGGTGAAACAGGAAGCCAAATGTACTCTTTTTGTAACAATTGGTCATAACTAATCAGCTCTCAAGAGAACTACATTAATCTCTTCTGAGATTATTACCCAAAATAACCTAGTTAACTCTCACTGGCCCTCATGTCTCAGTGCCTCTACACTGGGGGTCAAGCTCCCAGAACATGAACCGTTTGGGGACATACTTATACTATATCTAAACCAGAGCAGAAACATAGAGAGGATTGAGGTCAAACTTTGAGGGCTCATGTTCGTGGTCTGGGTAGAGGAGGCTGACCTAGCAGAAGAACTAGGAGAGACAACCAGAGAGTAGAGTTGGGACCACAGCTATCACAGAGGCCAAGAGCCACACACATGAGACACAGGGAAAGCCAGAATCTGACCACAGCCAAGGCATCTGTACCCTCTCCACCTCTTGATATTTCAGTCTCTGTCTTTCTGGTATGACATCACAAAAATAATTCAATAGTAGGTGTAAAAACTTCAAAATAATAAGATTCTCCTAATGCTTGTACACATATACACCCTGAAACCTGTTTCTTCAGAGTGATGTGTTTGTTCTCCATGAATAGCCCTCAAATCACCACAGATCTGTTGGAAACCTGCAAGTGTTTGCTTTTACACTTGAAATCTGAGCATTGCTTCCTGATGACCAAAATGTCTTCGTCTTGCTCTGGATCCTGGAGTTCTCATCCTGTGATGTCCACCTGCCCCAGCTACCCACAAGTCTTCCGGTTTCCAGATATGGAAATATAGACATGCATGCCAGTGTCACAGTGCTGCCCTATTTTCCTTACAGGATCAGGGATCTATTTCCCATGCATCTGGTTGAACTTTTCTGGCTTTGGTGGTTCTAGGGTTTTAACCAGGGCCTCATACTTGTTAGACATGCACTTTACCACTTGAGCCAGATTCCAGCCTTTTTATTTTTATTTTTCTAATTAGGGTCTACTTTTGCCCAGGCAAAATGTAGAGCAGTCTACGCCTTTGTCCCTACCCATGTGGATAGACTTGCAACTGAAATGGAGCTCACAAAGCAAGCCCATGGAGCCCCTGAGCCCTCTGAAACACACTCCCTCAGCTGTTCCTGTCAGTACCACTACCTCCCACCATTAAGGTAGTGACACTTTTGTTACTGTGTCCTGCTGCCAACAAAATAAGAACCAAGTCAGCCCTCTTGGTTCCATGTTCCATGTTTTTCTGTGATCATTTTCGATGTAGACTATTTGCCCTTTGTTTATCTCTGCTTAGAAACATACTAGAGGATCTTGGGACAGCTCACAAAATTTTTTGGCTTAGAAATGCCTTCTCCTAAGCCAGGCACTAGTGGATCATACCTATAATCCTAGCTACTCAGGAGGCTGTGACCTAAAAATCATGGTTCACATCCAACCCGGCTGACAAATCCCTGAGACTCTTATGTCCAGTTAACCAGCAAAATATCCAAACTAGAAGTATGGCTTAAGTGGTAGAGCAGCATTCATGTGGGGAATGGAAGCCAAGCATTAATAATTCAAGGCCCTTAGGTTAAAACCCAGAACTGGAAAGAAAGAGAAGTGGGGGGGGAGGGGGGAGGGAGACCTCAACCTTCTCCTTAGACCTTACTAGTAATCCTGCAATATAAATTAAAACAATAAAGTCAAGTTGACAGAGACTTTTGGAAATTACAGTATTCTGTGCAGGTAAGGGTACAAGGAAAATAAACAGTTAAGTATACTATTTCTGAAACTGAAAACTGGTGTATCATTTTAGTAAACAAGCTGGCATTCAAGTTCAGTAGCCATAAAAATGTTTGTATCTTTGCATCCTAAGTAATAGAAACCTCAAAACTGGCCCTCCTTCATTCCTCTAACTAAAGGGACTTTAAAATTAGAGCAGAGCACAGCTAAATCTATCACAACCAAGCTAGAAAGACAACCAACTAATTGGGAAAAAATATTTACCAGCAATATATCAGACAAGGGGTTAACATCCTGTATATACAGGGAACTCAAGAAACTAATCCCTCCCAAACCTAACAAACCAATTACTAAATGGGAAAGGGAACTAAAGAGGGACTTCTCAAATGAAGAAATAAAAATGGCAAAGAAACACATGAGGAAATGTTCATCATCCCTGGTGGTGAAGGAAACACAAATAAAGACAACCCTGAGATATCACCCTACCCCAGTCAGAATGTCCCACATCCACAAATCAGCCAATGACAAATGCTGGAGGGGATGTGGAAAAAGAGGAACCCTATTACACTGCTGGTGGGAATGTACACTTATACAACCACTTTGGAAAGCAGTCTGGAGGGTCCTTAGAAAGCTAAAGATTGACCTCCCTTACGACCCAGTCATACCACTTCTAGGCATCTACGCTGAACAACAGGAACCAATATACAAGGACACGTGCACCTCCGTGTTTATTGCAGCACTGTTCACAATAGCTAGGATATGGAAACAACCCAGATGCCCTACCACAGATGAATGGATCAAAAAATTGTGGTATCTATACACAATGGAATATTATGCAGCCATTAGAAATGACAAAATAATGGCATTTACAGGGAAATGGATGGAGCTAGAAGGAATCATGTTGAGCAAGGTAAGCCAAGAGCAAAGAGACAAACGGTACATGGTCTCCCTGATAAGTGGATGCTAAATCCAAAATGTTAGGTGATACGACAAAACTAACAGGACTTAAGAAACAAAGAACTCCCACTCATCTGGTCAAACCACTACTAAATATCCCCATGCTGCTGATCACATGTATGGTGTATAACATGTGTACACCGTTATATGTTATGGACTGTGATAGACAATTTGCTCCAGGATAGGTAGAATGAGCCTGTGACTTTAAATGAGCACCATTATTCCACAATACTGTGAAATTCAGGAAATTATGTAATCACTTGATCACAATCAAAAAAAAAAAAGAACCTTGGGGAAGGTAGGAAGGGAAGGGATGGTAGGGGGAAAACAATGGAGGGGGTAACAATGCTCAATAGGAAGTGTACTCATTACCTTACTCATGTAACTGTAACCCTCTGTATAGTATCTTTACAAAAAAAAAAATTAGAGCAGAGGCCTCATTAGCACCATGTTAAGAGACTGCTCCCCTGGAAGGAAGGGGTACAGATTTCCAGCTCTCCACACACAGAGCAGAGCTGTGGAGACAGGCTTGAGGTTTCCATTCATCCCACCAATTTCCTTAATGTCAAGGAAAAAGGTTGGAGGCTTGGGCAGGATCACCACAGAGCAACAGCTTCTCAAGCCCTCAACCATAGGCTGGAAGAAAACATGAATCTCCATGTTTTTCTGTTTTGTTGTTGTTTTTCGTTTTTTTTCTCTGACCTGGTTTTCAGATCAGCCAGTTGGCTTAAGCATCAGGGAAACTCTTTAGTCTCAGGCCAGATGGTTAAGGCAAGGGCAGAATAAAATCCATGGGGAAAACAGCAAAGAGTATAAAATTGTGTCTAGGGCTGGGAAGGTGGCTCAGTGGTAGAGCACTTGCCTTGCATGCTTGAGGCCCTGGGTTCCATTCCTCAGCACCACATAAGCAAAAAGAAAAAAGCCGGAAGTGGCACTATGGCTCAAGTGGTAGAGCGCTAGCCTTGAGCTGAAGAGCTGAGGGACAGCGCCCAGGCCCAGAGTTCAGGCCCCATGACCAGACCCAAAAAAAAAAAATTGTGTCTAAAAGCCTCTTATTATCTTTTTAGTTTATTTTACCTTTACTTACTTATGGTGCTGGGGATTGAACCCAAGCTTATATACATGCTTGTACTTTTACCAGTGAGCCATGCTCTTGGCTCTGAAGTAATGCATTTTGAGAATTTAAAAGTTTCTAGATAATTTGATGTGTATAGATGAATGTGCTAGATTTCTTTTCATCTGGTTTCTCTCTTTTTTTTAAGAGACAGGATCTACTCCTGGGTTCAGCTTATGTATAAAATCCAAGTGTATTAAATTGCAATATTACACTGAAGAACATAAAACAAATATGTACAGGAACATTGGTCTTTCAATTATGCTTAATATAACTATTTAAATTTTAATAATCCTAATGGCATTGACGTGAATCATGGAGACATGCAGGCAGGATGGAAAGATGCTTGAGTCCATCAGGTCCAAAGAACTATTAGAGAATAGCTGAGATGAGCCTCAAGAAGAAGCTATAAACCATAGAGCTGAACTTCGGGGAAGGATGATATCAACATTTTAAGGAAAGAGTTTTTCAACCCACTGTAACTGACCAGCCAAACTGTAACTAAGTATGATACCAGAAAAGAAAACTGTTCATATGTTAAATTGAAAATGTTTCAGATATAAAATTGAAATGTTTCATTATAAAACTGAAAATGTTTCCCCCACCACATACACACACACACACACCTTTTCTTATAGGAAACTATGAGTATACTTTCATGAGAAGGGTGTAATCCAAAATTTGAGTCAAGTTAGAGACTTTCTTTGAGTGATAATGGTGGAGGATTTTAAAAAGGAGAAACTGAGATGCTACACAAGGAAACTATGATCCACTGAGGCAAGCTCTTAGTTTGGGGCCGCAAGGAAATATTAGGAGCTTTGAGCAATTGTTAGGATGAACAAGAAGCCAGACAGTAAAAAAATGTAAAGTGTTGCTCACTAAGAAAAAACTGAAAACAAGCAAAAACAATCATGGGGAAGAGGGAGAAAAGCTTGAAGAAAGCTCACTTCTAAATATGGAGGCACTGTAAAGTGTAATCTTAAAAGATGGGTAGAATAACCAAAAAGGGAAAGTCTTTTTGAAACCGTTTCCTGAGTGTCACAGGATCGTGATCTTGGCACACTAGACAAGAAGTCAGTCTTGGCTCTCATTTCTGAGTAAAGACTGATTGTTGTTTTCAGCTTCAGAATCATCCTGGGAGAAGAGACAGAGGACTTAATTGTGCCCCCAGAAAGAGAAGCAATGTTCTAAGTTTTAACAAGCTAGATGAGAAACTTGCTGAAGTAGAGCAAATACAAGAACTTCCTCCTACATGTGTAAAGTCAACAAACCTTGTCAGTGATCCGTTGGGAAAGAAGCTTAGGGATGTTGTTTAAGTTTGTACTCTCCCTAGTAAAGGGACCTAGAAGGAGCTAGAAGTCTATAGCAAAGGGGAGAAGAGGGGGGTATATGGAACCTCTGTCCTTTACCTTGGGGGAAGTCAGGTAGATAAAAACCTCTGTTTTTGAAATAAAGAAATTGTGGTGTAAGCACATTGCAGAGGTAGTTGAGATAACCTCACCAGAAGAAATAAGGAATTAAAAAGTGGTTCTTATAGACCAGGATTGTGTGTCTCTGTGTGTATATATATGAATGATATGTTTTATACAGTGCCAGCTTTGTTATGGGGTGGATGTCATACATCTTGTAAAGGCAAAAAATATCAAAGCAACAAAATTTAAGTGTCAACTAGTATTTTTTTCAGTGGCAGTAGTAACCTGTTAATCTTTTTTTTCCCCTGAAACTGAGACTATTGATTGTGTATTTGATTTACTATCATTGGTTTTATAGTAGTTTATAATCTATAGATAATCTATAACGAATGCCAGTTAATGTCCTTTACTAGCAAAAGTAGCTATTTTCAGTTGATGATTCCCATCTCTTGTCTTTTTAACCTAGAAAAGGAATCTCTTGCTGGCATTTGAAGCAGCTGGAAGTGTAGGCATCAAGCCCAGTCTGGTAAGTACCTGAGCTGGTATTCTTGTATCACTTTATTCTATTTGCATGGGAAAGGACTTGGTTATCTACTAAACAATGTGTTGTACAGCTCTGAAATCCATTTGCAGATCTGTTAATTATGATTTTTTTTGGGGGGGGGGAGTCTGTTCGTGGGGCCTGAACTCTGGGCCTGGGTGCTGTCCCTCAGCTCTTCAGCTCAAGGCTAGCGCTCTACAACTTGAGCCACAGCGCCACTTCCGGCTTTTTTCTTTTTTATGTGGTGCTGAGGAATCGAATCCAGGGCCTCAGGCATGCAAGGCAAGTGCTCTACCACTGAGCCACCTTCCCAGCCCTAATTATGATTTCTAATGTAACGTTATCTAGTTTGTTTGATCACATATGGTTGAGAGTTTTTAAATTAAGATTTTCATATGAATAAATTCCAGTTTGGAAGTACAATGGGCTGAATTATCATTAAAATTCATGTTCAAATCATTTAGAAATCTCCATGAAAGGTCATTTTTAAAAAAATTTCAGGACAAGGCTGAGTGCTCAAGAAAGAATATGAAATAAGCAGATGCTAGAAATTTGAGGAAGTGAAAACCAAATCTTCAGGTATTAGCTAACCATAGCCACCCCAAGGGTAGAAGTGGGTGGGGTAGATTGGGACATATAATCAATAGATACCTAATAGGCCTAAATGGCTGCAGGCTTTATTTAATGCCCACACAGAAACTAGGACCTAAGCTCCTACACAAAGCATTTGTATTGTGACCCCTGTATAAAACCAAAGATCATAGTATACTATTCTTCATAATGAAAGCAGAGCTTTAAAAAACTATACCTGCATTCAGAGAGATGAAAATGTACCTTGGATTATTTTGGGGGTGATGTTTTTAAGAAAATAAAAAAAATACTCTGTCTGACTTATGTAACTGTAGCCCCTCTGTACATCACCTTTATAATAATAATTTTAAAATTAAATAAAAAAAAAGAAAAGGGCCAGGTGAGATTTAGTGTGCTACACAAACCCTTATCTTCTATATGGGAGACTCCTACAGTTAATAGCTGATGGAACTATGTTCACAAGCCAGATTACATACCACTCAAAAAAAAAAGTACTGACTTGAGCTAGCCATCAGATACAAGCAAGGATTATTTACCAGAACTTCAGATAATAAATAATAAGAAACTTCACAATGACTACCGTTAACGTACGGAAGAGATAGGAGACTAGGTGTTGTAGTACACAGCTGTAATCCCAGCTGCTCTAGAGACAGGCTAGACGATTTTGAGTTTCAGCCCAGTCAAGGCAACATAATAAAGCCCTTTCAGGAGGGAGGGGGGAGAGAGAGAGAGAGACAGAGGAGGGAGAGGGAGAGAAGGGAAAAAGAAAAGAAAATAGATTAGAAATTGTAAGAAAAAAACCAGTAGTATTAAAAGGAGAGAGACTTTGGAAAAGGGATCAGATAAAGCTTCTAAACATCTAACTGTTAGAAAGCATTCTTCCTTCAGGCACTGTGTAATGAGTGTTGAGGGTGCTACAGCACAAGGTATACAGCTCCTTGTAGAAAGACTTGAGTAGAAGAATTACAGAGCAGCAAGAACATGTGTTCTCCAGGGCTGGCCTGTCCATGATTTGGAAAGGTACACTACTGCCCTGATCATTTATTTAGTCCACAGGACTTTGCTCATTGATAGCATCACACAGTCTTCCCATTGTCACACTCTTGGAGCAAGGTCATCATGACTCAGGATTTGGGAGTAGCAAACTGATCCTTAGGCATGACTGAGCTTACTTTGTGGTATAGTTTGTAATGTGCACTTCAGTACACACCACATTCGTTACACAAAACATTTGTCCTCTCTTTCCTGTGTGCCATGCTCCATTCTGAGCTTTTCCCATGTATCGGCCCTCTGGACCCTCACAGCCCTACAGGCTACGTGGAATGTGCAAGGGACATGGCCACCTGTGGTGAATAAAAGATCACCTGATTGATGAGAGCCAAGATGAGAGTCAGGCAGGTAATCTCCAGAGCCCAGGTTCACAACCACTAGGTAACCCTGCATCCATGACAGCTGTGTCCACCTTCACAGTGCAGTATCAATGCCTCATTATATAGTAATTCATCTGATTATATGACATATCTCACCCTCACCTCCGCCAGACTGTGAGCTTTCGAGAGCAAGAAGTCCAGGCTTTTTTTTAGTGGTCTTTTAAAATAAACATTTATGAATCATTTATTCATGAATCAATAAATATTGCAGTTATTTCTTCATGTTTCTCAGTTAAGATTTACCATCTTAATCATTTTAAGAGATAGTAACTAACATTCACATTATTGTGCAGCTAGCACCTCCTCCTTGACCTCCTTCATCTTGCAAAACCGAAACTCCTTCCCTGTTAAACATTAACTTCCCTCCCCACCTTCAGCCCCTGACAGCCACCTTTCCCCTTTCTGTCTCTACATATACTTACTTTTGGTGCCTCATATAGATGTTCTTTGTCATTCCCTATTTGTTCCCATGATTGGGTTGTTTAATGCATTGCAGTATCCTCAGGGTTCATCTGTGTTTAGGATATGTTAGAATTAGCCTCCTTTTTAAAGCCAAACCTTATGGCACTGTGCATATATTCCCATTCCCTTATCCTTCATTTATTATTGGACTCTAGGGTTGCTTCCACAGCTCACCTATTGTGAATCATGCTGCCATGAACATGGGGTGCAAGTGCATTAGTTTTTTATGACTAGAAGCTCTTAGAACATTGCTAAGTTGCAAACTGTTGTTTGGTAATATATGCATTCAAGGGATCTGTTGTATAGTGTATAAGTTCATCAACACTGGGGTACTGAGAAAATGCTTAGCCAGTGTTTTCCAAATCAAGTTCATTTTCATGTTGGCTAGAACTTTTTTTTTTTTTTTTTTTTGCCGGTTGTGAGGCATGAATTCTGGGCCTGGGCACTGTCCCTTTGCTTTTCAGCTCAAGGCTAGCGCTCTACCACTTGAACCACAGCGCCACTTCCGGCTCTTTCTGCTTATGTGATGCTGAGGAATCAAACCCAGGGTCTCATGCATGCAAGGCAAGCACTCTACCACTGAGCCACCTTCCCAAACTGGCTAGTTTTTTTATCTTCTGGTTTTTTTTTTTTCTGTTTTCAGTATCTCACACTTTTGTATTTATCCTGCTCAAATCCATGCTATGGCTACCCATCCTAAACCCTGGGATTAGGGATAGAGATGGGAGTGTGGGTTCTTTGCATCAGAATGTGCAGACAGGTTGCAAAGGTTGCTGTTACTCAGAATTGGCCATGAAGATCAGAATCAGCTTCATGTGGGTTGTAGAACTTGCTTCTCTTTGCCAGATGAATGATGCAAAAGCCCACAGCATGGCAGCTGTCAAGGTAGAGGGTGCAGGAAGGAGCCCCCAGAACTCAGTTCTCAGGAGACAGGATATAGAACAGCATTGAGGACAACCTGGGTATGCAAGATTCTGTCTCCAACGAAAAAAATGGGTAGAAGCAGTTGTAAATATCCAGAGAGATCCTGCAGTTTGTTTCCATTTTGGTTTGTTGCTTCATTCAGAAAAAAACAAAAATTGAGTCCTCCAAGACTATTTTTGGTTGGATTCAGGCCCCAACATTAGATCATGCACAAATAGAGACCTACGTTCAAACTCATTAGATGGCCAAATGAAAATAACTGTTTCAATAAAGCAACAAATATAAGGAAGGAAGGCCAAGTGATAGGATTACAATGGATTTTGTTTTTGTTTGATGTGCTGGTCTGGGGCTTGAACATAGGGCCTAGATGCTATCCTTGAGCTTTGCTTTTTTTGCTCAAGGCTAGCACTGTACCAGTTAAGCCACAGTTGCACTTCTGGCTTTTTGGTGGTAAGTTAGAACTAAGAGTCTCAGACTTTCCTGCCTAGGACAGCTTTCAACTGAGATCAGTGTTGTTTGAGTTGGTACTTCTCTATTAGCAAATTATATTAGGCTTTTTTTCAGATTCTTATTTACTACCTATCTTCTTTGATCTACTATCTATTGGTCTTTTGCTCATTTCTAAATAATATTCTTTTTTTCTTGTTGCATCAAATAAGTTGTATATACTGGATATACTCTTTATCATACATTTGATTTTTAAATAGTCTCTCCCAGTTGGTGGTTGTTCTTTTCAGTCTCCTTCTCAGAGAAGAAATTTTATTTTGCTTCATTTTTTGGTACTATGGTCTGAACTCAGTACATCATAGTGCTGCTTGGTTTGCTTGCTCACTCTGCTGGCACTATACCATTTAAACCACACTTCTATCCCTACTTTTTACTGGTTATTTTGGATATTTACTGTTATAGACTTCTGCCTAAGCTGGCATCAAACCTTGATCCTCTTGCTCTTAGCCTTCTGAGTAGTTAGGATTACAGATAGCAAAGTTGTTCATTTTGATAAAGCCAGTTTTATCTTTTTTTTTTTTTTTTTTTTGCCAGTCCTGGGCTTGAACTCGGGGCTTGGGCACTGCCTCTGAGCTTCTTTTGCTCAAGACTAGTGCTCTACCACTTGAACCACAGCACCACTTCTGGCTTTTTCTGTTTATGTGGTACTAAGGAATTGAGTCCAGAGTTTCATGCATGCTAGGCAAGCACTCTACCACTAAGCCACATTCCCAGCCCAATTTTTTTCTTTCTTAATCATATATTTGACATTGAATCTTAAAATCTAATTGCCCAACCCATATAGATTCTCTCCTGTATTTTTTTATAGAACTTTCAAATTTTTAAATTTTGGGTTCTTATCTACTTTGAATTAATTTGTGTGTAAGCAATAAAGTAGATGTTTAATCCCTTTTTGTGTGCTGACAATAAGGCTTGAACTCTCAAGACTGCACTCTTAACTTGTTTTTTTCATTCAAGGCTGAAGCTGTACTCTTTGTACCCTTCCTTTTTTTTTTTTTTTGCTGGTTGATTGGAGGTATGAGTCTCCCAGATTTATTTGCTTGTACTGGCTTTGAACTTTACTTGTCAAATCCTGCTTCCTAAGTAGATAGGATTACAGGAGCAAACCACCAGCGCCCCGCGCCCCCCCCCCCCCCCCCCCCCCCCCGGCAGCTTATAGTTTAGTCTCTCTTGTTCATTCATTTTCACATGTGGGCTTCCAATCCAGTGCCATTATTTAAATGCTATTCTTTCTCTACTGAATTTCCTTTGTAAAAATAAATAAATAAATTGACTATATTTCTGTGGCTCTCTTTCTAGGCTCCATTTTGTTCCATTGATCTACACATCTATCTTTTACCAATATCATACTGCCTTCATTAATATAACCTTATTTAAAAAATGAAAATTTAGTCCCTTTTGTTGATCATTTTAGAATTGTTTTGTAGTAATTTTGCTTTTATGGACTTTAGAGTCAGTTTGTCTACCAAAAAATAATTGTGATTGGCACTGTAGGTCTATAACAAAGTAAGAATAATTAACATATTTATAATGTTCTCTTTCAATCCATGAGCACAGAATATATTTTTACTTATTTAAATCTTTAATTTCTTTTATAAGTGTTTTGTGGTTTTCTAAATATAGATCCAGCATATTTTTTAAGTTTTTATTGTTATTATAAAGTTAATGTACAGAGGGATTAGAGTTACAAATCAAATAAAGAGTACATTTTTTTGTGGGATGGGAGGGAAAAACTAGGAAGAATGAAAGAAGGGGTGATATTGTCCAAAAAGAAATGTACTCCTGGAAGTGGTGTTGTGGCTCAAGTGGTAGAGTGCTTGCCTTGAGCTGAAGAGCTGAGGGATAGCGCCCAAGCCCAGAGTTCAAGCCCCACGACCGACAAAAAAAAAAAAAAAAAAAGAAATGTACTCTTTACCTGAGGTATGTTAAGTATAACTTCTCTATACATTACCTTTATATTAACAATTTAAATTTTTAATAAAATATTTCTGTAATTAAAAATAAAGAGTACATTTTTTAACAATGTCACCCCTTCCCTCATTCTCTCCCAGTTTTCCCTTCTGTCCCCACCCACAGGTTGTATTTTCAACATAGTGTGTAGTGACTACCACTGTTACATTTGTTATTCCTTTGTTCCTCCCAAAAACAGATAAACAAGCAAGACAAAAAGAAAAGAGAACAAAAACAGCAACAAAGAAAAAAACTTGTTTCTATTTCCTGGAGTTCATTTTAGTAAATATTATTTTGTATGATCAGATGCACATAGGTATTGCACATTTGTGGTCCTATCCTAAGAATATCCTCTATTGGTCTTGCTGTGTATGAATGATTAGAGTGCTGTATAATATATCATGTCCGTGTTGTTGTTATTATTGTTTTACCATCCAGTGTGTTTACTTGTAGGTTTATAGACACATTCTAGCTACCACAAATGAGGGAAATTGTGTAACCTGTGTTTCTCTGGATCTGGCTTATTTTGCTTCATATAATTTTTTCCAAGTCTTTCCATTTCCTTATGAATATCATTCTTTCTGATGGATGAGTAGAGTTCCATTGTGTATATATACCACATTTTCTTCATCTATTGGTCCATTGAGGGGCCTCTGGGTTGATTCATATCTTGGATATGGTAAATAATGCTGCAATGAACATGATTACAACACATATTTTTGTAAGACTTAGACTTTAAAACTTCTTTGAGGGTGCTATTAAAGATGTTTTTTTCTCATCATAAATTAAGTTGTTCATTTCTGGCAGAGGAAAGTGATAGAGTTTTGTATACTGACTGTATTCTGAAGCCTTGCTAAACCAGTTTGTAGACCTAATTTTCAGCTTAGAGCATCCTGTCAACTGCTACTAAAGCATCTTCAGTGCCTCTTTTGCAATCTGTATGGCCTTTTATTTTGTTTTCATGCCATATTACATTAGCTAGATCTCTCAAGACTGTAGTGAATATCAAGAGACAGCATCTTGTTCCCAATTTCATGGGGAAAAAAATTACCTTCACCATTATGTATAATGTCAGCTACTAGGTTTTGTATGTGTCCTTTATTAGGTCAAATAAATTTCCTTCTATTATTGGGTTTGTTTTCCTTCAAGTTTTTTTTTTATCATGAATGTTCTTTTTTGGATTTGTATAATCCTCTTTCTTCATCTGTTGCTTAGACCATTTGGCTTGTCTTATTTAGTCTGCTAATGTGATAAATTACATGACTTACAAATACTGAATTTTTTGCATTTCTGGGATGAGCCTCACTTGATCATGATATATTATACTTTTATAGATTAATGGATTCAGTTTGCTAATATTTGTTCACTTTGTTAATATTTGTTCACTTAGTTAATACTTGTGTTTCTCTGTTCCTCTTGGAAACTGATCTGTGGTTTTCTTACAGTGTCTTTGGCTTTGGAAAGGCAATGCTGGCCTCATACATTGAATTGGAAAGTGGTCCCTTCTTTTCCATTTTCTGAAAGTGATTGTGAAGACTCGCTATTGGTTTTTAAGTATTTCGAGAAATTCATCAGTGAAATTACATAGACCTGGTTTTTTTTTGGGGGGGGGGGGAATTAACTACTAATTCAAACAAATGTCTTGTATCCTAAGATTTTTACTTATGCAGCACTCTCTCTTCTGAAATGTACAAAAGGTGTTTTCAAATATAAAATTAGTAGTGTACCTTGGAATGTTGGGGAATGTGTGTGTCTGTCATAGAGCTTGAGGGCTTGAACACTGTACCTGAGTTTTTTATTCAAGGCTAGCTCTCTACCACTTGAACCACAGCTGCATTTCTGACTTTTTGATGGATAATTGGAGATAAGAGTCTCATAGACTGTCCTCCTCAGGCCTGGCTTCCAATCATGATCCTCAGATCTCAGCCTCCTGTTGAGTAGCTAGGAGTACAGAAGATTACAGTTCCTGGCAGCCATTGGTGCCTGTCCTCTCCCCCTTTTAACTTCAGTAATTGTTAGTGTGAGACTGAATAAAACCATGAATATTGGTTTCTGTCATGGTTCTTCATACTGCTCTTGTGACCATGGCCATCTCTGGGACCTCTTCTCCATTAGAGAAGAGAGTCTGCCATCTCTCTTGTGCTCATTCCTAGACTTCCATCCGCGCGCGCGCATGTGTGTGTGTGTGTGTGTGTGTGCGCGCGCGCATGTGTGTGTGTGTGTGTGTGCGCACGTGTATGTGTGTGCGCGCGCCAGTCTTGGGGCTTGAACTTAGGGTCAGGGTGCTCACTATCCCTGAGCTTTTTTGCTCAAAGCTAGTAGTACTCTACCACTTGAGCTACAGCTCCACTTATAGTTTTTTTGGTAATTAATTAGAGATACGAGACTCATGAACTTCCCTGCCTTGGCTGGCTTCAAACCCTGATCCTTAGGTCTCAGCCTCCCAAATAGCTAGGATTACAGGTGTGAAGCACTGACATTCAACTACTTCATCACTTCTTTCTCATGCAGGCAGCTTCCTTGTTGTACACGCTCCAGCTAGGCACATACCATTCTCTGTATGACCCTGAGCTCAGTGGTCTCAATGGAAGGAGACTTTCGATCCTATAATTCATGATCATTTTGTTTTTCAGCCACATCTGTGCAGGATGTTCCACTTGCTCCTTCCCCCACCACCCATACTGACCATTCTTAGCATTACAGGGAGCAAAGAAGGTACAGTGTGTTCAGATGACCTGGAAGCAAAGGACAGTTAGCTCCTGAATAGACTCATCTATTTTGGCGACAGCTAGGAATAGATGTGTTCAGTAGTTCCACCTTATTTTTCCACTGTCGCTCTGCTTCTGGTTTTATGCCAGGGTCCTTTCCTTCTGTTCCCTTATGACCACAAAAGAATCTAAATTCAATCCCAAAGTTAATTATTAAACATGTTCAGTGGCACAAATTTCCAAAATGCTTGACTGAGTGTTCTGTGAGATACCCAGCTCTCTTGCCTGTCACCTCTGGCACTAAGCTAGTGTGCTTCACCCAAAGCTGGAAATAATAGGCCTGTGCCACAGTGCTTAGTCATTGGTTGAGATGGAGTTTCATGAACTTTTGTGCCCCATTTAGCCTCAAATCATGATCCTCCTGATCTTAGCCTTCCCTCCAGTGACTAGGATTACAGGATTGAACCACCAAACCTACTGCAAATTTTTTTGTATCATGTTTAAAGAAAAAAGCAACTGGAAGTCATGCATATCTTTTTAATGGACTTATCCCCTAGATAAATAGAATGTCATTTTTTAACTTGGCACATTCAATACCATCAGGGTTTGCCCGTACTTTTATTTGTGTAGATGGAGGGTCTCTGGGAGAAAAGGTCCTGACTTGGATGTGAGTCTCTCAATCTCTGAGTCTCTTTGTCTCTGAATCTCTTAGGGATGGGGTCTGTGATGCTACCTGTGACTTATCTTTCCTTTTGCCCCACAGGAGCTCAGTGAGATGCTATATACCGACCGACCTGACTGGCAGAGCGTGATGCAATACGTGGCCCAGATCTACAAGTACTTTGAGACGTAAACCTGAGGGCCTAATAGCTGCTGCCACCATCACCGCAATTTGAACCTGGAAGCACCTGGTTGCTGTCCATTTTCCAGCCATCTGGATTTCTAAGGAAGGCTCAAACTAAGTGGATCAGTACTCAACTGAGTATCCAAGCTGGGCTCCACATCTGGAGCATAAGTTGGAGATCTGTGCTCTCCTACAAGAGGCATTTAAAGAAGATTGCACCCCCTCCTTCCAGACCAAGATCCCAAGCCCTGACTCCTTTCTGTGAGAACCCAGGGTGACCTTGCCAGACCATTTGGTGATGATTGTACTCTGAAAACATTCCTTACCTACAGCACTTCCAAATCAGTCTGTTTTTAGAACTAACCCCCCCCCCCGTCTTTGCCTTTATAAAGTGTTATCTTTGGCAAACTAAACCCCAAAAAACACAAAAACAGAACAACTTTTGCTTCAGAGCAACTTGGAATGCATTGTCCCTACCATTTGGGGAAATACGCTCACATGCTAGGTAACAGTTTTGCCATCTAGGATTTAGTTGCACTTTTTAGACCTCACAGTCCATTATTAAATTTCCTAATGTGCGAAGGAGCCCCTGGGGGCCTTACTGAAGGGTTTCTGGGAGGTGAGGTGTCCCACGGCAGGAAGTGTACACGGGTCGCGTGTCAGTGGCGCCTTTTGTCCTCCCATTTCTTCACACTCCCTTTCACATTCACACATGTCTGTCTGCACCAGAACTTGACAGGTTAGTTGTATGGGAAATAGCCTCTGTCTTTTGTTCACATCACAGATTTGCACAATTGAGCAGGCTGAGGGTATAGATATGGGAATTTAAGAACTATTTCAACTCCAGTGGACTCAGTCTTCAGTACTTCATTAGATCTTTTACATTTGCCTGGGGCAGGTATTGATGGCACCATTTGTAACCAAACAACAGCAGTACAGTTTTCCTAGTGTGCTCTTGGTTACCGTAAGTAGCACAGGATCAAGTGCTCAGACCAGATCCCTCCAGCAGCTTTCTAGTTCTTCTAGGGTAAATCAATGTACCCTCCATAGCAAAAGAGGTGCCACTCATACAGCCAGTGGAGGAAAACTTGTAAATACCTGTTACTTGCTGTTTTCAGTGCCAAGTAGCTCTGTGTTGGTGCCCCTGAAAAAAGGGTCATCCTCACAGCAAGTCCCTGAGACTTACAACAACTGCCATCATTACTTAGAGTGCATCTACTGTTCGTCTGAGCCACTCATGCTGAGCCATGTCCCAGAGGCTACAGATCGACTCCTTGTCCTGGTACTCTCTGGGGCTCTGTCCTTTCCTCCAGGCCAGCACTTTGCTTAAGTGGCACTGAGTCCCATCAGCCAGATAGTCCTGATTCTCAAGCTCCCATCCCTGTCTGGGTTTCATGCTTCTAGAAACCACACATGCCTGGCTTACTCAGATCAAGTGAATCAGAATATCTGGAATAAGAGTGGTCATGAAGTTTATATATATATTTCGAAGTTCTCCAAGACCCTGCTGCACAGCCGTGGGGAGAGAGCATCTTTTCTAGTCCCCCACCCCCATGCACACTTACACACACGCACACACACGCGCACACACACACACACACAGAGTGCAACAGGGAAGGACTCCAAAGCAGCCCTGTGTAGCTGTTCTGAAGCCAGCACCGACTATGTAACTGGTCTCTTCGCCAATGGAAGCTGGAAGCTGGGGCTCAGCTGGAACAAAGTTGCCCATTCCTGATGAATATGTTACGTGCATTGTCTCCTGCACCTGTCTGGTTGGAGTCACCATGCACATTATCTTCATTGTCTCCCAGCATCAGCCTTGCCTCCATTACAGTGGGGGAGGGCTAGCTAAGTTGCAGGATCGGGCTGTGTTTCAACTGGGATTACCACAGAGGTAATCTGAGGTAGTTTGTAGGGGAGCAGTTGAGTGGGATTCAAGAAGCATTTAGCCTGTTTGCAACTGTATTTCCAGAGATGACGTGTAAGGGATGTAGAAAGAGCTTTGCATTTTCTGTGCTAGACTGCAGAAATGTTGGAATTCCCCCTCCGTCCCCCACCCTCGGGCCCCTCCCCGCCTTTCTGGTGGGAGCCCACATTGTGAAAACGGCTCTCCTCTGTATACTGCTCCTTTCATCTTGAAAAGAAGGGGAAATAAGTGTCATATTGGAGCAAGGCCATGTGCATTTTGTTTTATGGCTAGTTATTCACTTTGCTAGAGTTACAGAAGTGGAATGGCATGCCTATTCACAGAAACCGGTGGTGTCAGACTAGGCACAACTGATGGTGGTTGGTACAGGACAGTCTCTCCAGCACCACCAGCCTCCTGAGGCCTGATGCCAGCAGTTGGGAGTGGAAGTACAAGGCAGGGAGAGCTCCAGAGCACAAAAGAGAAAGCAAGGTGGCCTCTTCTACCTTCCTTCTATTGAGCCAACTGCCTTTCCCAGGTCTCTGAACTGGGGCTTTCAGAGGCCTCAGTGGCCTGGCTAAGTTGCTTCTCATCTACCCTCAGCCAATACATAGTAAAAATTATTTAGTAGTTCAGATGTCTTTTTTTAAAAAGTTGTATGTATGACAGCTGCAAACTGCAAGACCTTAGGATGCTAAGATGTAGAGAGATCTGCATTCTCCATGGGTCCCTCTGACCCTGTCTTAGCTGACCCCTGGGCTCCAGTCGCTTTTCACATCACAGACAATACTTGTCTTTCCATTCTTCATTCAGTTGTTTTACAGCTTTTTTAGAGCCCACCCAAAGTAGACATCAGGGGTAAAAGACAAGAAAATGTGCCCCACCAACCATGGTGGTGAATGTCTATAGTTCCAGCTACTCCAGAGGTTAAGAGGTGAGGATTGCTTGAGTCTGAGTGTTGGAACACAACTTGGACAACATAGTAAGACCCTATCTCAATAAAAAAACAAAACTGGGGCACTGAGGGGTCACACCAGAAGCTGAGATTTGAGGACTGAAGTTTGAAGCCAGCCCAGGAAGACAAATCTATAAGACTCTTATTTCCAGTTAACCAGCAAAAAAATTAGAGGTATGGCTCAAGTGGTACAGCACCAGCTGTGAACATAAAAGCCAAGCAAGAGTGTGAAGCCCTGAGTTCAAGCCCCAGTACCAGTACACACAAAAATGTCCTAAGATACTAAAATAATGAGCTTTCTAGTAATGATGATATCTCCTATGTTCTCTCCTGATGCCCGCAAGTGCCAGCCAACCCTCTCAGTCTCTGCCCCTCCCTCTTTCCCTGGGATGTCACTGCCGGTGGAGAGAAGGCTGGGGTTGTTAGAGGCAGAACCACCTGCCAGTCCAGCAGTTAGTTCTTATTATTCCATAATTGGAGTGCCATTTTTGAGATGCCTAATCAGTGACAGCCTTTTTTCAAGAAATGTTTTTAATACCTTTGTTTGCCCAGGTTCCCTGGGTATCTGAGTTCAGTGATTCGGGTTGGAGTTTTGCTGAATCTAGAATACCTTGTGTAGCTCACTGACTTTAACTACATTAGCTGAATGCAGTTGATACATCTGTGGCCTCATTTCTATAGAGCACATTAGGTCCTACCAAGCACCATCAGGACATGACATGCTAATGTAGATGTATTTAACTATTAACATGGACGTGTAAGATGTATCACTGTGTAATATTTCTAATAAATATATTTTGTCTCTGTCTCATTTTGATTTATTTTCCCCAGGGATATATATTTTCTAAGTGCCAGACCAACATTATATCTGCTTTCAAAGCAGCTTCTCTACAAGCTCCTCATGCATCCCTTCCCTGCCTGCCCCCTCCCCCCCCCCCCCCCCCCCCGCAGCTTCTTTCAGTCGACAAACAGATAGAGCTTACCTGGGGGGACAAGGCCTGATGGCTCTTCTGCCACCTTGCGCCCAGTAGCCTTACTCTTATTTAGATCATACTCAGGGCCCTACCTGGATGCTGGCAAGCTATGTGAAAGTGTATAATTCAGGGTCAGGCATGTGACCAAGTACCCACTGAGAACCTGGAAGCTGAACGTGGGGGTATTAAACAAGAGGGCATTAATGCAAGATCGAGGAGACAAAGTTAATTTTAAAAATTCTAACTAACAGAGAATGCCTATTTTTTTTGGCACCAACACCGTGCCAATTCAGCAGATGATGAGTGGCTCTTTGGGCATCACCTGGAAGTGTAGCATCAGGCCACTTTCCCTAGAATCCTCACTTCTCCCTCATGCCAGAGAAGCTCCACCATCCTGACGTTTTCCTCCTGAAGGCCTGGACTGCTTCCAGACCAGCACATTTTCCGATGAGCAGTTTAGCACCCACCCCTCACTTTGGACTGTAAGGTGACAAGCAAAAGCTGTGTCCAGTAAATACTAAGTCTTGTTCACTGAAGATGTTATCATCTGTCCCATGTTCAGGCACCTCACACGAGTGTGTAAACCCACTAGCTCATGCACAAGGACAATGGGCATTTGTGGATGGCCAGTGTCTTTGAACTTGTGAACAATTTCTGTTTGCCATTGTTTGGGGCTCATCAGAGCAGTTCTTGTCCTGTGGGTCTGGTCCTGCATAAAGGAAGCCTCATCTGTGGGCACCTCAAGGCTGGGCTGTCTCAGCACATGCACTTTAAAGGTAGGGTAACGAGTTGGAAGTGACCATCTAGTAGCACTGAACCTAGGGTGTCCTTAGTGCCTCTGAAGCCTCATATGAAAATTGTCTCCATAAATTTCTGTTGTAATCACAAAATATCACAGACTAGGTAATTTGTGAAGAACAGAAATTTATTTAGCTCACTATCTGGAATCTAGAAGTCTAGAAGTAGGCATCTGGTGCGGGGCCTCAGGCTGCTTCATTGAATGGAGGAAGGCATTCTATTGTGAGAGAGAGCAGTTATGCAAGCTCAGGAGGTCACCAATGCCATCATGGGGTCCCCACTTTCATGACCTGGTTACCTCCCAGAGGCCCCACCCCCCAATGTCACTAGCATATGACTCTAATGACTAAGTTTCCAAATATGAACTTGAGGAGACATTGAAATCTTAGCATCAGTGGAGGAAAAACAGAAGTGGTGGTGGTTTTTTGTTTGCTTGCTTGCTTGCTTACTTTTGTCGTGGGCTCTGAACTCTGAGCCTGGGTGCTGTCCCTCAGCTCTTTAGCTCAAGACTAGCACTCTACCACTTGAGCCACAGTGCCACTTCTGGCTTTTTGTGTTTATGTGGTGTTGAGGAATCAAACCCAGGGCCTCATGCATGCAAGGCAAGCATTCTACTACTGAGCCACCTTCCCAGGCCAGGTAGTGATCTTAAGCAAGGCATAAGAGGCTCCCAACAGGGCCTGATGCATGGAGTACTGGCCATGGCACCTGCTGTTACATCATGGGCAGTTGCCTCTGGCAGGGTCATCCACTCTGTGCCTCTCGGGCTACAGATGGTTCTTTCTTTGCTGAGTGAGAAGGGCTGTGGTTTTTAGGGTGTGCTGTATTTAGCTGTACTTCCCTCAACTCCTTCAGGGTGGAATTGCATACTTCTTTGCTTACGATGCCTAAACCTAACTAATGAGCAACAGTTGCTATACAAAGAACATTTGATGAATTGGTAGAAACATCTAGCAGTTGTATACTCGCTCCTACTTGGAATCCGTTCTTGAACTGTGATTGGTGGGTCTTGTGAACAATTGTTTCCTGAATTTTCCAGCTTGATGGTCAATTGGAAAAGCTGGAGAGAAACTGGGAACTCAGATCCCTGCTCATTTTTTTCTTTCTTCTTTGCTGCAATCTCAAGAAGACTTTCAGAGCCTTCCAGACACATTCATTCTAACTTAGCTCATGGGCCAAAACTTCAATGGGATTTTTCTAGATTGTGAAAAATCCTCCATAACATGTCTTGGCCGGAACATTCACAAAGTTGGCCAGAGAACCAGTGGCCTCTCCCATGTGTCCCTCTGGGCTGCTATTTATAATTTTCTTTAAAGCATATCATTACCCTCATATCAGAAAAATGAAGCAAAATAGAAAGCAAGACATGGGAAAAGTTCACCACAGCTTGCTTTCCTTGCTACATGTGACCTCAAAGGCTGGGCCACAGTTTGAAAAGTCTGAAACTAGAAAACATATCTGCCTGAAGAAGAAACCTTGTCCTGAGAAATGCATGGCCAGAGCCCAGCAGCAGGTTGTGCAGCTTCTGGCAACAAGAAAGACAATCCAGCCCCAGACCCTGCTGCTACTTATAGTGGAGGCTGCCCTGTGCTCTTTTTCAGGGGGAAATATGGCTCCTTTAATAAACCTTGTAATATTCTTTTTTTTTAAAAAAAGAAAGACAATCCATATTTAGTCCTGGGGCAGAACTCATGATTGTAATTCCCACAATTTTAACTGTCTGTGTTTAGAGGGAAAAATCACCTGTTAATACAAGCTGCTCTGGAGGCAAAGACTGAGAAGATCAAGATTTGAGACCTAGTCAAAAAGCATGACACCCCCCATGTCTACAAACAAGCGGGGCAAGTTGAGGCATATCTATTGTAATCCAAGGAATACAGGAGGAATAAAAAAGAAGATTTCAGGCCAAAGATCAGTCCTGAGAAAACCATGAGACTACTTGAAAAATAAAGCAAAAGTGTTGGGGATGCAACTCAAGTGATAGTGCCTAGCCAAGTGCAAGGCCTTGAGTTCAAACCTCAGGACCACCAAATAAACAATACATTCAATGCCCACCTGCCTTTTCAGTTATGACTGTGTGTCCCAGAGTAAGCATGAGGCAAGATGCTTGGTTTCCTGTCTTAGTGCCTGTGGGCTGTTTAGTCTGAAGACACTCATAACACTGAGTACAGTTTTATTCTTTAAAGCTATGGGATTTTTGTGTTTAGGGTACAGTATGTCCCCTAACTGCAAGCAAAGCTTCCATTTATCCTGGAGAAGTTGTAGATGTTCATAGTGATACCTCCAGAGTGACTGTGATGAGGGAGTTTATTTCTTCTCTGACTTCAGATCCCAGCTCCTTAGAGATAACCTCCCTCAAGTTCATGTCTTTGAGGTCCCAAAGAAATCCTTTGTCCCTCAAAGGTCTATGTGTTAAATTTAGGCTTGGTTACCAATCTGTGGCACTTTTAAGAGGTAGTGGAACTTTGAGGACGTGGGACCTTGTGAGAGGATGTTAAATCATTAGAGGCCTGTCCTTCTAGTTTCTTTCTTTGTTTCCCAGCCACAATGAGGTAAACACTTCCCTTCTCCATGCGCTCCTGCCATGATGTGCTGAGCTGCCACAGGCCCAGAGTAACAGCTAAACAACCATGAATCCCTGAAACTGTGAGTCAAAGTAAACCTTTCATTTATTTGGAATATTTTATTACAGTGACAGAAATGTGACTAACACCGTAAGTTAAAATGAAGGTGTTGGTATTCCTTTCTTTCCAAGAATCTGTTTCCTCACGTTTTTCCAGTCTCCTATCCTCTTCTCCAACTTCAAAGCAAGATGTGGGTGATGGAGCTCATTGGCCAATCCTGAAAGATGTCCAGGCCATGTCTGTCTGTCTGTCTTTCTTTCCTTCTTCCTTCCTTTCCTTCTTTCCTTCTCTCTTTCTCTCTTTCTCTCTCTCTTTCTTTCTTTTGTCTGTCGCGGGGCCTGAACTCTGTGCCTGGGCACTGTCCTTCAGCTCTTCAGCTCAAGACTAGTGCTCTACTACTTGAGCCATAGGACCACTTCCAGCTTTTTCTGCTCATGTGGTGCTGAGGAATCAAACCCAGGGCCTTATGCATGCAAGGTATGCACTCTACCACTGAGCCACCTTCCCAGCCCCCAGGCCATGTCTTTTTATGGCACATTTGTCATAGTCTAGAAAAATCTCTCTGAAGAATCTCCCAATTTTCCAAATGGACACACATCCCTCCAGTTGCTCCAACTAGGAAAAGCTTTCTGATTTTAAGAATGCATGTGGTTAGACTAGACCCGTTTACATACTCCATGCAGTTCTTCCTCTCAAGACCCCTAGCCTTAATCATATCTGCAGGGTCTCTTTTGCCATGCAAGGCAATGTTTTTCCAGGATTTGGGTGTGGACACCTTTTTTTGGGGGGGAGCACTGTTGTCTACCACAGTGTTCTTTTCTCTTTTGCCTCCCACAAACAATTGGTAGAATCTTTCCATGTGTCCTGTTTATAAAGCTATGTTAGAGTTCTCCAGGAAAATTGAGCCAGACAGATGTGGAATGAGATTTATCATAAGGAACTGGCATGCCTCATTATAGCGGCTTAAGAAGTCCCATGCTAGAGATCCAGGAGGGCCAAACAGCCTGGTGCAGATTCTAGTCCATATCTGAATGTCTGAGACCCCAAAACAGCACAAGCAAGAGACAGACATCTCGGGCAAAGTTGTGAGGCAGAGAGCGAATTCAACCCCCCTCTGCCTAGAGCCCTCTCAGATTGAGTGCCTGCCCATACTAGAGAGACAACCTGCTTTTTGGTCAGTCCACCAGTTCAAAAGCTGAGCTCTTCGAGAAACATCCACACATATGTATAGAAATAATATTTCACTAGCTATCTGGGCATTCCTTGGCCCAGTCAAGTTGATTCATAAAGCTAACCATCACCCAAGGTAAACATTAGGCATCATGCCCTGTGTGAGCAGTTTTTCCATGACAGAGTATTTCCAAGTCAGTGACCAGCCAATGGTTGCCAGCTGCCCTAGGCTAGGTGCCTGTTTCTGATCAAGCAGCTGGGGTGGGCATGAACACAGACTTCCTGCTCAAAAAAATAAACCACACCAATTTCAAACTAAAGCTGTCTCCCTGCAAAGTCACTGGTGACCTGGCCGGGTTGGGAGTGAGCCTTATAAACAAGCCAACATCTGAATACTGGAGCCTTGTGCTACTATACATAGAAACCCAGTGCCATGAGATTGAGCAGGTTCCCCCACCTAAAGAATTTAGGACACCAGTGAGCAAGGTAGATATGGGCCATTTTATAGATCAGAAAACTGAGGTTAAATAATTTTCTTATAGTTACTTAGTGTGGAGGAAGTAAAACAAAGTTGGTTGGGAGGAGGGGTGTTTTTGTGTGTGTGCTGGTCCTTGAGGTCAAACACAGGGCCTGGGTGCTGTCTCTAAGCTTTGTTGCTCAAGGAAAAAAAAGCAACCTTCCACTAGAGCCACAGTTTCACTTCTGGCTTTTTTTTTCTTTCAGTTAATTGGAGATAAAAGTCTCACAAACTTTCTGCTGGGCGGGCTTCAACACTCAAGCCTCAGATCTCAGCCTCCTGAGTAGGTAGGATTACAGGTGTGAGCCACCTCTGCCCAGCAAGAGGCAGAGTGATTTTAGAAAACTGATTCCTATCACCTGTCTCAAAAACAAGTTTTAAACCTAAAAGTCTGACACCAAAGCCTGCACTCAAGCCACACCATGGGACCCTGCCCCTTATGAAGAATATAGTTTCTCCTTTCAGTAAAGCTGAGATGCATTTGCTCTCAAGCAAATTCTTATCTGAAAAACAACTAAATAAGGTGCACACCTATAATCCCAGCTTCTTGGGAGATAGATGTAAAAGGATGGCATTCTGAAGCCAGCCCTCAGAAAAGCATGAAACCCCATCTGATAAATAACCTAAAGCCAAGTACCAGTGTCTCATACTTGTAATCCTAGCTACTCAGGAAGTAGAGACGGGGAGACTTTTTGGTTGAAAGCCAGCCTTAGTACAAAGTTTGGGGGACCCCCATCTCAACAGAAAAAGCTGGTCTTGGTGTCACACACCGTGGAAATCATAAAGAGAGGGATTGCAGTAGAAAACTTTATTTTCTTCTCCACTCAGCATAGACTGATGCCAGCTAAGAACAAAACCACCTCACATTTTACAGTGCAGCTCTCCTAGCACCTGCTTCTGAGAAAGGAAAATGTAATGAGTCCTGCTATTTTCTGGATGGGGTGTGTCTTCCAAGAGCCCCTGTGTTGTTGGCTTGGTTCTCAGCCTGGTGATATTAAGAGATAATGGGACCTTTAAGGGCCTACTGGGAGAAGATAGATTAGCCAGCCCAGGAGTCTCTGTCCTTAGAAGAGATTAATGTGGATCATAGCAGCCTGAGGTAGTTCTCTAGAGAGCTGTTGTAAAACAATAAGCCTGAAGCCAGAATAAATTCTGACTTCCTGTCTTGCCTTGATCTCTCCCCCTTGCTTGTGTTCCTGCCAGGATATCATCCAACATGATGTGACCCAGTCAGAGGAGTCCTCACCACAGCCACCACAGTGCTGTTTGGGCTTCCAGCCTTTAGACCTGTGAGCCAGACAAAGCTTCCTTTTCTAATGAACCTAGCCTCAGGTATTTCATTATAGTAACAGAAAATGTTTCCCTGCCGTCTTCCCACTCAGTATCTCACTGGAGGTATCTTGCCTTTCAAGGCCATAGGATAAAGGCTTTGGGTTGTTTTACCCAAAATGTCCTTCCAAAACCCTTAAGAGGTTCTCACCAAGTTCCATGGCAGGGAGTAAAGTCGACTCTGCCTCTAAATACTCTACCTGATTGGTTCAACTCACTTTTGGGCTAGATAAGACTCTTAGGGAGTCCATCCCCCATCCCAACTGAATCACTCCCTTAAGGAATAACTTCTACAGAAGAAGTTGGCAGTATAGTAGCAACGTACAGAGGTCACTTTGAATGGATGTCTGTCCTGTCCCCAGAGGAATGACTGTTGTTTATGCCCACCGCTGTGTCCTGCCATCACTACTTATCATCAGAGAGTGGCCAGAGAAGGGGGCTCCTGGACCAGGCTCTGAAGTAGGTAGAT